TGAGGAGTAGCAACATGAGTCATGTAAGTGACTTTTCCACGATTATCCGCTAGATACGGTTTAGTCAGTTTAGGGCTTTTTGACTGTAATGGACAGTGATGGTGAGAGAAGTAATGTTTCCCACTAGAATGCTTCTTTGCCACTGTTAAAGAAGTTTAATATATACATATATATTTATGTATATGTTATATATGCACACATAACATATATATTCACATATACATATATGTATATGTTATATATACAAATATATCCTACATAAACACACAAGTATATGTTTGTGTATACACACACACACACACACACACACACATATATAACTGAAACTCATAGAGTAATGTCATATTAGGTGGATTATTTTATCCTCTATGCACAACTGATTCTCTTTATTGTTTCTTAGTCTATCCAGGTGCTCCTTAACACAAATGTCTCATCATCTTGAGCAGGAGTCCACATTTATTTCAAAATAATTGATTTCTTTTGTAATGTTACATATATTATTATTATTATTATTATTTTACATTTAAAAATCCATATTCTAGATTAGATTGTCAAAGGGGTCCACACAAACACAGATATGAACCCCTACACTGAAGCATCTTTAAAATCCTAGGAGCTCTTATCACTTCATTTTCAATTCTAAATCTTTTACCTTTTGTCATTTCTGGTGTAACTTAAGTTTAATTTACTTATTTGCTTCAGTCAAAACCCAAATGGCAGGCAATAGAGTTCATCCTACTCTTCTGCTTGTCATTGGGGCAAGGTTTATCTCTAGATTCTCATTGTCTCTCTCTCTCAACAAACGCATCTCTTTGTCAGATGCTGATTTCAGGATTATTGGACCCCAAAATATAAACGTACAACAAAGATATAAAGTATAACAAAAATACAAATTACAACAAGGATATAAATAAATCAACATAAAAATAAATAAAATATTGCCCAGTCATTTCAGACTCTTCATGACCCCATTTGGGGTTTTCTTGGCAAAAAAAACAAAAAAAAACCAAAAAAACAAAAACAAACTTGAGTGGTTTGACACTTCCATCTCCAGCTCATTTTATAGGTGAAGAACTGAGGCAAACAGGGTTAAATGACTTGCCCAGGGTAACACAGCTAGAAAGTGTCTAAGGCCAGACTTGAACTCATGAAGATGGGTTTTCTTGACTACAGGCCCAATGCCCTTCCCATTATACCTAGCTTTCCCAATAAAACCACCTTCCTATGTAGTTTCATTGCTTAATCCTTTTTATTTGATTTTGGCTTTCCTTTTAATCAGATTTCAGATCCTTCACCTCCAAAGTTCCGCACACATTTTCTTAATTTCTATCACAGTTCTCATTTCTTTTTAAGCCCTTCACCCTTTATCTTATCTTATATGACCTAAGTATTCTCACTTTCATTTTCTTCATTTTTATTTTTATATTTATTGCTGTTCTCCTCAGCTATTTGAATTGTTTACTCCTGTTTTCTTTCAAGTATCCATTTAAATGATTATAATGAAACAATATTTTTAAATGCTTAACGCAGTGCCTGGCATATTTGTTGTTGTTCTGTCATTTTAGTTATGGCTGATTCTTCGTGACCTAATTTGCGGTTTTCTTTGCTAAGTTCCTACAGCAGTTTGCCATTTCTTCCTCTAGCTCATTTTACAGATGGGGAAACTGAGGCAAACAGGGTTAAGTGACTTGCCTAGTTACACAGCTAGTAAGTGTCTGAGGTGAGAGTTGAACACAGGAAAATGAGTCTACCTGACTCCATGCCTACAACTCTATCTGCTCAGCCATCTACCCTCACCTGGCACATAGCAGGCCCTTAATAAAAGCTTATTCCTTTTCTCTTCCTTTCCCACTCTCTCAATTTTATTGCCGTCTCAATTCCATTATTATTTATAAGTGTTTAATAAGCATCAGACACTTTGTTAGGTGACAAGCATGTGATGAGACAATGAAAACAGTCACTATACTATGGGAGAATGATTCTATACAAATTACCTGTTGAGGCATATATGTGTGTATATATATAAATCATATAATATGATTAAAAATGGAGGTTTTTTTTTTAAACCTCTACTAAATCCTACTTTGATACTTCATTGTGGTGTGAAGGTGACTCTCAGTTCTTATAGTACTATAGTGCAAGACCTTTCAGAGCCTTCTAAGCTGACAGGGATTCCAGTATTGGCCCACTATCTACCTGCATGCCTATTTGTCTGCAGAACAACCTAGCTAAGTTAAAAGCAGTAACAACAATAACACATCTTACAACAAGATTGTAAACGTGATGAATTTTCCAGCCAGAGTAACCCTCAAAGACTAATTTTAGAGGGGTTGTTATCTGGATGGGTGGAAGGAGTATTAACAAAGATCTTTGTTATATGAAAAATCATACAGAAACAGGCATAGGTTTATTGCCCACTCTATGCCAAGCACTGTGCTAAGTGCTTTTCAAATATTATCTCATTTCAACCTCACAACACCATCATGAGACAGGTGGTAGATATTATTATCCCCATTTTTAGAGTTGAGGAAATGAAGGTAAACAGAGGGTAAGTCATTTGCCCAGGATCATAAAGTTAGTGTCTGAAACTGGATTTGAACTCAGATCTTCCTCTTTCCAGGCTTAGTGCCCTAGCAACTGTACCACCTGACTAATTGCCTTTAAATCTAAAGGATCACAGACTTAGAGTTGGAAGAAAATTTAGAGATCATACCACCCCAACTAATTTTACACAAGAGGGAACTGAGTCCTAGACAAATGAAGTGCCTTCCAAGGTAGAAGTGATGGGTCTTGAATTTGAACTCAAGGCCCATGATTTTAAGTCAAATGCTCTTTCCACTGTACCAATGAAGAAAATGAGCTCAAAACTAGGATGCCAGCAAGGGATTGGGGAAGACCTAGATTCATGGCATGATTCTGTGCATGGGCACACTATGGGCAAATTGCTGAATCCCTCAGTATCTTAGGTAATTCTCTATGACTGTAAGTTACAAAAGAGTGGCTGATCTGTGTTATTGGAGGTCATTTTCACAATGGGAGTTCCCTATATAATTGAAATTATGTGTGTGAAGCTAACCTTCTCTAACTCCGCCCCCCCAAAAAGAACCAAAACAATATAGAAAAGAAAAGAAAACCTCACTGCTTTGCTATTGCTAAAAAGAGAAAAACATCTGTTTAGCATCTATCTGCCAACAATTTTTGATTCTCTAATCTATGGAAATCACTGTTTTTCTAAACACCTAAAAGAGAAAGTGTCTGAAAGGAAAAAAAAATAATTTTGGTATAGTGCTTTACAAATGACTTTTTTGTTGTTGTTTTTAAGGCTTTTTTGTTTTTTTAATCTCCGGAGGTAAAAGTATATCAGCTGCTCACCAACCCAATCCCAAAGCTCATCAGCCTGGAAGCTTTGACCTGTCCATTGTTCCAACCTGGCCAGTTGACCTCTCGAGGCAACAAAATGGCCCTGTGCTCCCTGGGCTCTCCAAATTGGTGCCAGACTTAGTCTGGGCACCTGATCATAGTTAGTCCAACTGCAGGACGGAGTTAACCAGCCCAAGACACCCATCAGATTTGGCTTTCTCCAGTAACAGGGATTCCAGCCATGTGCCACCACGCTCAGCAACCATTGACATATAAAGGCAATGAAGATAACGGTTTCCTGAAACTGAGAAGTTTGTTTTAATCCAGTGAGTTGCCGGGATTATCCCATTTATTATAAGAGCTGTGGGATTCTGGACAAGTTGTTTCTGTTGGTTTGAACATGCAGTGAATGTCTCATTATGATTTGATAAATGCAGAAATCCAACTTTGAAATAACTTTACCACTTGGAAGTGGGAAAAGACCTAAGTATTACAATACAGCTGTTTTTTTTTTAAAATAATGTAGGGGTCCATGACAAAACAAAACAAAACAAAACATTAAGACCCACTATTCTCTACCAGTTTGCAAGATGCAATAACTCTTTAACTAAAGGGCAGAGAAACAAATCCCTTGGAGGGCGGGGGAGAAAGGAACTAAATAAAATAATGTACTTTAGGGTTAGAAGGATTTCCTTTTAAATCAATACTTCTCTCTTAAAAAATATCATTTTAAATCCAAAGCCACTTCCAAAAATCCACTCTCAATAAACAGATTTAAAAACAAATAAAACTGTCACCCTTTCAGATCTCTGACCTCTCAAAATAATTTCCTCCAATAAAGGAATTCAAATAACATGACAGAAACATACTAGAACATCAATTACCATTTCTGGTACTTAGGTGCCATAGGACAGAAGCAGGATAAATGTGGCCAATTTGGGGAGACAAAAGTAGAGCACACACCATCATTCTGGTGTTTCAGAAACTGTACCAAACTCTATTCACTTTGATGCACTTCAGTTTTAAATGTACACATTGATAAAATGTGTCTTGCCCACCTTAAATCAAGTGAAAGAATCCATTTCAGAAGCTGTTAATAGAACCTGCTGGGGGAGGGACAGTGTCAGGTACTCTACGCCCCACCAAATAATGCTGTTTCTCAAAATATCATACCCTTAGTACCTCTAACAACTGTCAAGTAAAAGTAACAGCTATTATAGTAGAAAGAATTAGAGTTCAGGGGACCCAAGTTCTAGAGCCAGCCACATGGCCGACTAGCTGTGGAATCTTGTGGAATTTACTTAACCATTACATGCCTCTATCTTTTTATTTGCTACACAAGGTGGCTGCACTTGATCGTGTCTAAGTTCCTTCCAGCTTTAAAATTCTATAATTCGAAGGTTCACTTGTAAGAATGGGAATAGTTCTATAATCTAATGCATAAACACTGAAAGGTTATTACATATAAAAGGGACTTATTTAGTCCCTTTCCTTATTCCAGATTGTTTTTTGTTATTGTTCAGTCGTGAACATGAGTTTATCATCAGCCTACTTTTAATTTAGCTGTAAGCAAAACTTCATGAAATTCATGCTAGTTTTGACGTCTCCATTTTGACTTTGGAGTACTAATTAATACTCACTGTAGAGTAGAGAGAAGATGTACTCGAAACCAGTGATAACGAAGACCCATGGACTGGGGAGAGAGGAAAAAGTAAAAGAGAAAAGATCAGTTAGAAAATATAACCTTGACACAATGGGCAAACTCCCCCAGGGAATGGAAAGTGAGTATGATCATCAACAGACATTAAGCCCAGATAGCTTTAGAAAAGTCTGACTTCCAGTTGTCTGATAAATATTTTGTCTGCATTCTCTTTGAACTAAAATGCTCAAAATCAACACAAAGGTACTATGCTCAAGCCCAACAAAATGTAAAAAGCACAGAGCATTTTTTTATAAAACAACCCAGTAATCACACACATTATCCCATATGGAAGGACCCTGTCAAAGAGTGAATTATACTCAGAGAGACGCTACAATGAAACCTCACTGATTAAATATTCATAAGCTTACATTAAACCAAATAAGAAAATAGTAAAAAGCTTCAAGACTCATTCCCTTTCTTCATCACTCCCGCTCTCCCCTTCATATTACATACTAAGGACCTTAAGGCACTAAATGGCCTCCGATTAGGATTTAAACATTAATGTTTTCTTCCTGGGCTTTTCTTCCAATAGTTTTGCTGAAATAGACGTTGGCAATTTATTCTGCTTGGGACCTTATCATTGCTTATGAACAGGTGATCATACTCATTTAGATGCAATAGCATTCCTATGAATTCCAAATTGAAGTTCCATAGAAAATAAATGTAGTAGATGAAATCATTTTTTTTTATGCAATATCTATCTCCCCTGGGTATCTCTATTAATGACTATATTGGACCACAAATAATTCATGTTATGTTTTTGTATTTAAAGCCAGAACCAGTAGCCCAGGTAAAACTGTGCTTAACAGTCAATGCAGAAAAATCCTGCCTGCTTCCATACACTTTGCCTTATAGACATCATTAGTTGATTTCACAAAGGATGGCAGTAACTTAAAATTATATAGACCTTTCTAGTTTAGTTGGTATCTTCACATTTAATTTTTCATTTGATTTTACAAAGTCTCTTTGAGATAAACAGTACATGTGGCATCATCTCCATTATAGAGATGAAGAAGCTGAGGCTTGTAACTTGCCCATGTTCGTCTAGAATCCCATGAATTATAGAGCCAGGACTATAACCCCTATGTGGCTCAGTTTTCCTAACTGTAAAATCAGTAGCCCGGACTCAATGACCTTCAAGGTCCCCTTCCTTCTCTAACATGGTGATCCTCATAAGCTGTCTTATGACGACTGACTCCGGTCTCAGGGGTACTCTACTCCCCACCAAATAATGCTGTTTCTCAAAATATCATACCCTTACTACCTCTAACAACTGTCAAGCAAAAGTAACAGCTATTATAGTAGAAAGAATTAGAGTTCAGGGGACCCAAGTTCTAGAGCCAGCCACATGGCCGACTAGCTGTGGAATCTTGTGGAATTTACTTATCCATTACATGCCTCAATGTCTTTATTTGCTACACAAGGTGGCTGAACTTGATTGTGTCTAAGTTCCTTCCAGTTTTAAAATTCTATAATTCAAAGGTTCAATTGTAAGAATGGGAATAGCTCTATAATCTAATGCATAAACACTGAAAGGTTATTACATATAAAAGGGACTTATTTTGTCCCTTTTCTTATTCCAGATTGTTTTTTGTTATTGTTCAGTCATATCCAACTCTATGTGACTCCATGGATCATATTATCCATGGGTTTTCTTGGCAAAGATACTGGAGTGGTTTGTCATTTCCTTCTCCAGTGGATTAAAGTAAACAGAGGTTAAATGACTTGTCTGGGGACATACGGTAAGTGTCTGAGGCGGGATTTGAACTCAAGTCTTCCTGAGCTCAGGCCCAGCACTAGCTGTCTCCTAGATTCCAGATTGTTAAACTCTTCCAATATGTGAAGGTATATACTCCAAGTTGTTGTTGTTGTGGTCATGAGTGAGCCATCTCAAGAGGCTAGAAATCATTTGTTCTGGAATATGGAGTAGTACCCAGTCAAGTAATTTTTTTTTTCAATGTCATATAAGGCTGTATCTATAAAAGTAAACAGTGGCACAATCACTCTGGAATTTGCCTCCCATTTGATTTCTGATCTAGGGCTTCTCCGTACAAGAATAATCAGTAGAGGCAGACAAGTATTGTTTACTGAGAGAGTACAGAGTCAAACCATACGGTTCTTTGATTAAAAGTAAAAAAGACAATTGCAATAGTTTCCATTAGGCTTATCCACCATGGAAGAAGATTGTCTGTTAATCTGATTATATTGTAAATTCTATATGGACCTGAAATAAATAATACAATCTCTAAATTTAGTAAACTTAAACTTGGGGAATACTATTTATTGGGAGAATAGAGCTGATTAATGTTTATATTTATTTAAATTTCCCCTGAAATGGGTTGTCCTTTCTCTACCCTTAGAGCATGAGCAGACGTTGTCTGCCTGCTCTTGGTAACCAGGCGGACCTCTGGGAGCAAACTCTATGGGTCTCATTATACTCCGCTGGATTCCTATTTCAAGGCAATGTCAAGATGACTCTGGGATCTCATCGGCCAGAAGATAATCAACTATCATAGGTATTTGTAATTTTTATATATGGGTTGCATGATAGATCGAAGAACTGGGAATATTTGACCTCGCAGGAAAAAGAAAAATAACTTAGTTCAGACACGATCCATATTTTCAATTGCCTGAAGAGTGCTTTGCCCAAGAAGAGAGGATTAGGAGCAACAGGTGAAAGGGGCAGAGAGGAATATTTGGGCTTCATGTAAGGAGAAGCTACCTAATGATTAGAGCCATGCAAAAATAAAATGGCTGTCCTGGGAGAAAGAGTGTTTCCCCTAACTGGATGATCAATTCATGATTAATTTAAAGAATGCTAAAGAAGGGAGTCTTATTTGGGGATGAATTGGACTAGATGGCATTCAAGGTCCTTTCTCTGGTGGAGATTCTGTGAATACAGAAATAGATTATCAAGGAACAACTTCAATAAGTTTGGTAATGCTACACTGGGATGAGCTTATGATGATAAATTGTACGGGAATTTTGTTGCTGTTATTCAGTTGTTTTGGTTGTGTCCGACTCTTTGTTAGACCATTTGGAATTTTCTGGGCAAAGATACTGGAGTGGTTTGCTGTTTCCTTCTCCAGCTCATTTTGCACATGAGGAAACTGAGGTCACTGGGGTTAAATGACTTGCGCAGGGTCACACAACGAGGAAGTGTCTGAGGTCAGATTTGAACTCAGGAAGATTAGTCTTCCTGACGTCAGGCCTGGCCCTCTATCCACTGCACCACCTAGTCATTATATCATAGTTGATATAATGTTGATACACTGTGTCAGGGGAGGGAATACTCAAACTAGAAAACTACCGATCCCCGAAAAATTTCTTCAAGTTAATTTCCATTTCCATATTGCATGTTATTTTAGTTTTTCCTGCTTGTCTTTAAAAAGGCTGATGCTATGTCTTTAAAAACAAAAAAAAATAAATAAATAAGTGAAAAAGCACATGCAAAAAATGTTCAATGTTATCTATGAAACATCCCCAAGTTGTTATCAGTTAATTCTACATTCACTATGATGAAATTTACAAAAATATATATTTAACCTTGATTCAAGCTTTGATGTTTTCTTAAACTGGGCCATTATAATTTACCTAGAATTTACAAATGTAAAGCTACTTATGCCTATTTGGGTAAAGTCAAATTTATTGTTTCTGTTCAAAGACCATTACAGAACTTACCATGCAAAGTGAACATAAAATGTGATCTTTGAGACACATTTTAAAAGGTCAAAACAGAATGAGTGGATTTCTGAGTTTAAAATTGGATAACATCTCAAGAGCTCATTTCAAAGTAGGACTTTGTATCAGAACTCAAAAATAGCAGTGTGTCATTTTAGCTGTACTATTTAACATCAACTTGAGCTGGTTTTTGAGAGTGGAAGGGGGCCTATCATTATGAAAACTTTCACTAGATAGAGGTTTACATTAGCCGGTGAAGGATAGCAAATACCTTACCTTTTCTAGTACAATTCTCTAGTAAACGCTAATTGAAATTGGTCTAAAGACATAAGAAAATTCTTTGCTCGTTCTCTTTTCCCTCTCTCTGTCTCTTTCTCTATTTCTTTCTTTGTGTCTCTTTATATACATACATAGATATGTATGTATGTGTGGTATGTATGCATGTCTGTATCAGGCTAGTGTGCTGGACTGAGAGTTAGAAAGACCAGCATTCAAATCCTGCTTCTGACATTAGCTTTGTGACCTTAGGCAAGTCATTTCACCTCTCAGCCTCAGTTTCTTCCTCTGTAAAGTGAAGATAATCATAGCACCTGACTCCCAGGGTTTTTGTGAGGAATGAGATAACATATTAAGTGCTATATAAATGCTAGCTATTTTATATATATATATATATATATACACACATACACATACACACATATATGTATATATAATATATATTATATATGTATATATAATATATATTATATGTATACATATATGTATATATTATATATATACAATATATGTATATATATATAGTATAGTTGTTTATACATAGCAGTAGTGGCACTTAGGAGCTGGCTCTATATTTTAATTAATGTAGGAAACTCCCTTTGAATTTCCCCCATCCTTTCATCCTCTACCAATATGCATTGGTACTTTCTTTGCCACTTACAATCTTGAGGCACTTGAAAGTTAAATGATTTGCCAAGGGTCACATAATCAGTAGGTTTTTAACACAGGGCATGGTCCACAACAGGCACTTAATAAAAATTGATCGATTGATTTTTGGAACATAGGTCTTCCTTTGCCTAAGCTCTCTATCTGCTAGATAACACTGCTTCCCGAAAGAGGACAATATAAATGATGTCCAAATTCCCTTTCCTTCAGGGATCTATAAATGTCCATACTCATTAAAGCATTCAGTAGGCCTACATTTATTCAACATCTGCTTTGTACTATGTCCATAGGTGCTCTTGGCATCCTCATGAGATCAATATTACCATTATGGAAAAATTTTGGAAATTTTTTTTTTGGAAAAATGAAAATCTAGATGATTTTTCCCCCTTATTCTCACCCCCCGGGCTTACCTTCTTCCATGCTGTCTCTGAATGAGCCTGAATGACTAATGGCTCGGGGTCTTTCTTCTAAAGATGTGGCACTGCCACACAGCTGGGAATCATCATACAGATCAAAGGAAGAATCTTGAGCAGGGATACTGTTGGAGCGCATCATGCTGGGGCCAGGAAGATTAAACTGGGACAGGCTGGTGGGACTCACTGCAAAGCAAAGTATACATTCAACTCTCCATTTCCTTACACACTCCAAGGCGGAAGTTTTACTTAGACCTAGAGAAGAGGCTTTCAACAGATTACATAAACAATATTATTTACTGTGAAATATTCTATAGTAATTATGTAGCTATAGATAGGATAGGGCTTTGGCCCTATCTCATTGGGTTGGGAATTCCAGAGAGAGGAAACTCTCTCTACAAATATACTTTTTCTGCAGCCAATAGTCTTAGAGACCTGAGCTGAGCAGCAAGAGGATATGTGACTTACCCAGGGTCACACCACCACCGTGTCATGGGAGGGAAGCCAGGGTTCCTGGCTCTGAGGCCAGCATTCTGTGTACTACTATATCATACAGCCTTTCTAGTCAACATATCACATGGGAAATATTTTGAAGCCTCAGTTTCTTCCAAGCTAGAAAAAGCTTTATGAAAAGCAATCTGTCTGAGGCAGCTAGGTGGCAATACTCACTAGCTGTGTGACCCTGGGCAAGTCACTTAACCCCGATTGCCTCGCCCCCCCCACCCCAAAAAAGCAGCAATCTATCCATTTCTAAACTGACATTAAACAGAGAAACACACAAAAAAGAGTGTCATCTTCTCCAGTGGTCATAATAAAAATCTAATTACACATTCATATGTGCAATATAAGAAATGAATAAAAAGATATTTGCTCCCAAATCTTTACCAACTTTACCAAATAGTAATACATTTATCTAAAGTGCAGATTGAAAGTGGGAGGAGACATTAAAATGAAATTTCCAAAGGAGAACATTAGAGTTGGACAAGCTGAGATTTAAGATATGTATTAGGCCAACATTTTCAGTGAGCAAATGCTTGACCCCGACTTCTGTTACTACCATATCTCACCCCAGCTGGCCTATAACAGGGATCAAATGAAATAAATGGTTTTTTTTTTAATGAAAGTGAATTCAATAGCTTTTCTATCTGTATAAAATTAATCAACTCAGACAAATCCTAGATGACTTTAATAATTTTTTTCATTTCTTCCTTCACCATATATGGTCCTACAGTGCTAAGAAAATCTCCAGTTTACAAGTTGTAGTAAAAAGAAAAAAGTGTGTTTGCAAACAAGTTGTTTGGATCTAAGTGTACATTTTCACAAAAAGCACATCAGTAAATGGTGACTAAGTGCCCAGTTGAGGTCATAAAAGCCTGTTCTCTATAAAATATAGTTAAAACGCTGTCTATTTTCAATGAAAAATGACTGAAAAATAATGTTAACCATTCTATCCGTTCCATAAAACTGAAAGAAAAATCCAATAAATTTGGGAGTCTAGTTTTTTTTTGTTTGTTTCTATGTTTTACTTTGTTTTGTTTTTAAACTTGAATGCTGACTCATAAGGAAAACTAGGCTTACACAGGATAAGGAGAGAGATAGATGGAAACTTGTGGGGTTGCTGATAGAAATTTCTGGTTACTTCACCACTAGAGGTGGTAGGAACCTTAGAAACCACCCAGTACAATCTTTCCTGGAATTCAAAGATATCAAATGATTTTTCTCAAGGTAACTGGTACTAAGTATGATTCAAACCCAGGACATCTAGTGTCAGATTGTAACTCTTTCCATAGCAGTCCAGGAAGCTGCAAGACCATTAGAAGTTAAGGGAACTTGTACTTCTTTACATCTAATTTTGCTTCCATGATTTAATGCCAGGTACATAGGAATGGTTTAATAAATGCTGGTTGAGCTCCTTTGCTCTCTTTTTCTTTCCTTCCTTCCCTCTATCCTTTGTTTCTTTCTTTCTTTTCTCTTTCCTGCTATCCTTCCTTTCTTCCCTCCTATTTTCATTTCTACCTTCCTGCCTTCCTTCTAACTTATGATTTTCCTTTTCCTTCATAGGGATGTATTAACTAGTAATACTACTCTTATTTTTATTAGATATTATAGGAGTGATTGCTTTTTTTGGTTCAGAAATTAAAGGGACAGGAAAAGAGAGAATTGTCTCAGGCTGATTAGAAAGGGTAGGCCTAGTGGCATAATGGGTAGAGAGCCAGTTTCATATTTAGGAAGATCCAATGCCAGTCTCTGATACACACTGGATTAGTGATCCTGGCCAAGACACTCAATCTCTCAGTGTGCCAGGCAATTTATCAAGGGTTAACCTTTTTTTTTTTTGGTGATATAAATATCTTTGGCAATTTGGTAATATCTAAGAATACCTTCTCAGAATAATATTTTTAAATGCATAAAATAAATACATAAAATAACAAAGGAAATTAATTCTATTGAAACCAGCTATCAAGATATTAAAAAACAAAGTTCATGGAACCTGGGTTTAGAATCCCTGTTAAGATTATGAATTTCCAGGCAGGTACTGATGGCATTATTAGAGAGGGCTTCTGCACTGGGATTTCCATAACTCTTTGAAATTGTAAGTTTAGTCTGTGGTTGGGAGAGAAAGGAGAAATAAAATAAATTCAAGGAGAGTATATACTGATGTTGCAGCAGAAGAGCTGTAGACATTTGTAAAGATTCCATTAAACACGACTAGATCAGACACTTCTCTGAACGAGCCACCAGGGGGAGCTGTCAGCTTAGAACAGCATGCTTAATGTCCAGAGGGATGTTTGTGGGTATTGGGGTATGTGTGGGGTACGGGTTGAGGGAAAGAGATGCAGTTTGCAGCTTATTGTTAAGGCTTTTCAACAGATAAGATTTTCACAAACTGTATGCAAGCCTGGAGGTGGAGGACCCTGCGTTTGAACAATAAATAGATTTCCCCAGTAAAAAAGGCCTAAAGCTATGCATTTGCCAATATGCATAGGATAGGGGCTTGCTAGGAGATGGTATTAATGCTAAGGGTGGAATATTCCATTAACTATTTAGCTAGGTCAAATCCCTTCAAATTCAATTCCAGGGGGACTGGGGGGGAGGGGGGGAATGTACAGGAATGCATTTAATATACTGAGTAAATTAAATTAGTACCAGTTGGACTTTCCATTATTTGGAAGGCAGATTATTAGAATGAATTGGAGTAGCTAAAAAGGACATTGGTTTATACTGATCATCTTTTTTATTAAAACAAAGAAAACGTTTCCATTTTACTCAAGAACTACCAATTTCAGGAGGATTTGATCAAATTTTAGCTGATTTGGACAACTGTTATTATTCAGTTTTGACCAAGTCTTCATGACTCCATTTGAGGTTTTCTTGCCATTTCCTTCGCTAGTTCATTTTGCAGATGGGAAAACTGAGGCAGACAAGATTAAGTGACTTGCCAAGGGAAAACTGAGTTCAACTCTAATTATGATTACACAAACAAGTTCAAGAAAAACATTAACATCTACTACGAGCAAAGCACTGTGCCATTTATTATGCTATGTGCTTTAAGTCTTTAGACAGCTAGGTACCTCACTAACTAGAGTACTCTGGCTGGAATCAGGAAGACCTGAGTTCAGTTGCAACCTCACAGACCTACCAGCTATGTGAACCTGGCCAAGTAACTTAACTTTTATCTGCCTCAATTCCCTCACCTGTAAAATTGGGATAATAATAATATTTCTTCTTCCCAGGATTGTTGTGTGGATCAGATGAGATATTTACAAAGTGCTTTGCACACTTTAAAGAGTTATATAAATGCTAGCTATCATCATTATCATTAACATAAAACGGTAGCTGAATGTGTTTGGAAGCAAGGTGAGAAAGAGGTAAAGATTTTGATGACTAAACTAGGTACCTACCTTTGCAATCTTAAAGTCAACCTTGGCTTATTCCTTTCCCTCAGCTTGTTTAATACTGGACTTATTGATTCTGCTTCCACAATATTTCTGGCATCAATCCTTTTCACTCAAACTTGGTTACTACCTTAACTCAGGTCGCTCATCACTTTTTGCCTTGATTATTGAAACAGCCTCTGAATTGGCCTTTCTGGCTCATTATTACTGTCTACAATCAGAGTTTGAATTGTATTTCAAAGGCAATAGATATGGGCCACCGAAGCTGTTCACCAGGAGAGTGACATAGTCAGATCTGTGTTTTGAGAATATCAATTTCACAGTTATTGATGATTGTAGACAGTTAAAAACTTTCATAGCTTGGATTCAACTCATCTTTTTTAGACTAATTTCATTCAAGTTCTCTCATATACTTGACACTCTGGAGAAAATGGCCAACTTTTGTTCTTTCCTATACCTGATACTCCATCTACCACCACTGTGTCTTTGCTTAGACTATCACCTATGACTAAACTGCTCCCGCTCCTCACTTTTACCTCTTGAGAATCTCTAGATCCCTTCAAAATTTATCTTTTGTAAAAAGTCCAATTGTAAGTTCTCGATGTATCTTCAATTACTTTGAATTTACTTTTCATATATTTTGTATTTATATATATAAGTATATATATACATATATATGTGTATATATATGTGTGTGTATATATATATATATATATATATGCAAACCCCTCCCCCCAGCAGAGTGGAAGCTCTTTGAGAGAAGATATTGTTTTCTTCTTGTATCTCTAATACCTGACATATTGAGCAAAATGAAGAGCAAAATGACTCCTTAGTAAGTCCAGTTTATCATCTGAATGAGTACTTTGGCAATTGATATTAGAGGTCTGTCTACCTCCCTGGCCAATTGGAATGCAAACTCCCAAAAAAAAGGATTTATTTATTTTTTTTAACTGATAAAAGTCTAACCAGATGGATCTTGAAATGCTGCTGTAGGCAAGAAATTGCTAAGAGACTCCCAACAGTGCTGAATGTGTTGGGAACCATAAGCCACTGCAGAAACACGGTCTTTCAAAGAGTCAGCCATTGGGCAGAAACAATTGCTCCATGAAGAAGTAGTAAAAGAAAAATAAAATAAAGGATAAATTAGTAGGGGCTTTTTATAATAGATGCAACTATTTAAATGGCATAATACCTATAAAAGGATGACTGGCTTGTTTAGACTTTTGTCCTTCCACATTATTTCCTAATGAATGCTTCCTCTATATTATAAAACTATATAAAATAAAATTATTACATAAATATAAAATGATATAAAAATTCATAAAATTTTTTAAAAAATATAAAAATTATATAAAATAAAATTGTTGTAAATAAAACTATTATTATTATTATTAATTATTATTTGATGAGGCAATTGGGGTTAAGTGACTTGCCCACACATCTATGAGGTGTTACATGACTAGGGCTGGATTTGAACTCAGATCCTCCTGACTCCAGGGCCATCTAGCTGCCACCTGTAAAACTCTTAAGGAAGTATTTTTTTGTTTGTTTGTTTCTTCTTGTTTATTTGATTTGTTGTTTTGTATTTCATTTTAACAATTCCTACAGTGCTGGCTAGATGGCGATTTATATGTGTGGTCCTGAAATAACTTTATCAAAAAAATTGATAAAGAAATTACTTTTTTAAACCAAAACAATTTTGATAAAATGTTTTAGGGAAAATTTCTCAACACATAGCTTTCTGCAAAATTGAAGAAGTTATTACAGTTTTTCAGATGTTTTCTAGGAAATCAATAATTTATTTTTAAGGTAAAGATAGCAAAAAATTAGATATTTCAAGATTTTACCTAAGTTGGAAAAGTGGTATTTTCCTGTAGCTGATGATGACATAGCAGAAGGGGAAACAAGAGGAGATTGGTTACCAGTGTCCTGCAGGCCTCCAGTTGAGTGAGATCGAAGCCATTCTTTGCCCTCTTCTTGACTGGTCTGCCGGGATGATGGGGTGTATCTGCAAAACAACACAGCTGGGACACTTAAAAACCCCCACAAGGATAAGGCAGTACCAAAAGCTGGAAAACTAACAAGAGTACTTGGCTATTCAGACTGAACAAAATTCCTCAACAGATTGAATCTAATTTTAATTGCTCAGTTCTTACAGATGATTTAACACCATCTGTTGGAATCTCACAGGGAAAGGGGAGAATTCTTGAGAAGAAAATTATGCTTCTGTGAGATGTGGAGTCAAAAATCACAAGCAATGAGCAAGACAGCCAAGTTAATTGAGAAAGACACAAAGGCACGGGGGTGAGATGGAGAATGGGGTGAACACAGATTTGAAATGGTGGACAAATGGCAGGCCAGAAGCCAAGAAAGGTGAGTGACTTCTTATAGGACGACACCCATGATGGGTAGGGTTAGAGAAGAAGACAGACTGAGAGCTAATGGAGAAAAAAGGGTGGAAGGTGAGGGGGAATTTCATTAGGGAACAATAACTATTGAGATCAAAATTAGCATTTGCCTCTCCAAAGGCAGTTAGGGCATCTTGTCTGAATCTGAATGGACAGGAAATTCATTTACTTAATTATAGCATAACTTTTTGAGAATGAAGTTTTTAAAAATTAAATCATTTGCCAATGATTTTCTACTGCTAACCAACAGAAGAGATTTAAGCTAGAGAAAAGGCTAACTGGGAAGACACAAAGCATGCCAGATTTCAAAGCTGTCATGAAGTAAGTGAACTCAGCACCGCTGAGAAGTAAATTCATCATCTTCCAAGACCCTCATCATTGACTCTCTTAACCTAAACCTTCACTACAACTGTACAATAACATATAACCCTTTATTTTCCAGTAGGGGAAAGAGGAAATATTATGATATTTTGTAATGATAATTTCAACGGAATTTGTCCTGAACATAATACTTTCCCTCAATCCACTCATCTTTTTCCAAAAGTGATTGAAAATCAGAAGAATGACTTGAGATATGGTGGGGGTGGGGGGGAGATTAAATAAAAACTGTATTTTAACTAAATGACCTGATTTGCTCCCTAATAATGTATGTTTTCCTCGATTCAAAGTTAGATATTCAACAACTAGCCCCAACTGTAGGCTATAAGAGCCCTTGAGCTTCATACATCTGCTTCCAAAATGGGATACAATGGAAATGGATGCATTTCCATTGCCAACCTTGCTATTTGCATTTGCTTTGACAGCATAAATACCATCCCAAAAACTGTATTGAGGACAAGTCCTTAGCAAGGAACCTTTACTTTCCAAACAATGTTCCTGACGGACCTAACTTGCTCAGGGCTCTGGTCGCCACTTAATGGAGTACTATGCAAGTAATTTCTCATAAAAAAAAAATGTTCTCACTCCGATTCAAACCAAAGAAAATAATGAGGGCTAAAAGTTATCTTTATTTTAAATGCCAGATGCTAGGTTGTAAAGGAACGAGAGGAGAAAGAGAAAGACAGCAAACAAAGCTGACAGAACAACAGAGAGGCAGCAGTTGTGCTAAGAGAAATATATACCTTAGTCCCTTTTTGGGCAGCGTATTTCTGTCAAGTTGCATGCTGTTAAAACAAAGAAACCCCCTAAGGACATACTATAAACAAAACTTCCAAATTACAAATTCTACAACAATTTTTCTCTGTGTGAACCCATACAAAATAATTTACTATAACACAACTCGAATGCTTAACTCGTTAAAGAAGGCTATGCCAAGGGTTACCAGATGTCCATTTCTGACACAGATGTGAGTTCCTTTTCAGAGCCAACCCCATTCAAATAATTATTTTGCCTGGCAATTCCTAAACATATCTGCTTGATTATACGATCATAGATTTAGAAATGGAAGGGATGCCAGAGGTCATCTGGTCCAAGCCTTTCATTTTTTTTTTTTTTAACAGATGAGAAAATAGTGCTGGAGAGGATAAGGGACTTGTTCAGTTAGCAGAGGAAGGTTTTGAACCCAGGTTCTCTTGAATCCAAATTTAGTTTTCTCTCCATTGCATGAAAGCATGGTTTCACCTTGTATATCACCAAAGGCTGAGTCTGATATTGTCAGGGTTTCCCTTGTTCTATCACTCTCTTACTGTAACAAATATAGTGGTATGGTGCTCTGCCAATTACCTATTAGTTGACTACTCTGAGTTTACCTATAAGAACAGCCAGTGGATGGAACGGAAGCATACTGGCTCTATTTAAACTAGAGTGGGATATTTGGATGAACAGATTAGACCATTGCAAATGACTTCATTGAAAATAAAATTCTTTCATATATAGGCAAACCCCAGTTAACAGGAAAAGAAGAAAATTCTTTTTTTTTTTCCCCATGCTGGGCCCAGTTAGGTCCAAATTAAAGTTCAAAATAAGGGGAAAGTACGGGGTATGTCCTCCTTTTCATTAAGTAATCTTTGTCTAAAAAATAAATGTTTCTGCCTACACCTGAATAGACATCTTAATGAATTAAACATTATAAACCTTCCTTTGGAGATTACAAATTATAATACTAATGATTTATCAAAACAGTAATGTTCTCAGTCTCCACTTTTCAAGACCAGTAGAGTACCACATCCTTTGCTATATATAAAGGGATCTAGGGATAAATGACAACTAGCTTTTTAATCTAAACTGAGGAGAAGGGAGCTGTGCCTTTTCACCATCATGTGGGATATCCTGGCTATAATTATCAGTAATTGGGAAGGAATGTTGGATTGAACATCTAACATTTTATCTTTCTTCCACAAGCATGTTTGTTACATGAACACTACCCAAGAATTAAAAGAAAACAGAATATGCACGATGAGAATGAGATAATATGAATGTCAAATTAAATCATCTTACAGCTAATTAATTGAAATCCAAAATAAAAATGTTTGCTTCTAATGAAACTCAATAACTCAGCACTTCAATATGGTGGAGAACATTGTATAATCAAGAGTTTCCAATGTTCCCTGTTCATACATAGTATGAACAACCCATAAATGTAGTAAATTTAGAACTGGAAGGACACTTAGACATCATTTAGTCTATGTTATCCTTCATTGATGAAGAGCTTAGGACCCAGTGAGGTTAACACATGCAGTAAGTAGTAGAGGAAAGAATTTAAACTCAAGCTCTTTGATGTGAAATCCAGTATTTTTTTCTACTCAGCCACAACTGCTTACCAGAATTATGAATGAAATTAATTAAATCAACAGTAAGTTTTTTTTTTTAGTAGAGGTTAAAAAAAGTGGATTTCACAGAAATTAAAGTTATGTTGAAACATCTAAATCTGACCTTAATTTAATTAAGGAATTGCTTGGTTTTAAATGTTATTTTAGAACTTCCCTCTGCAATCTGTATGACCAGAGTCATCAAAGTTCAGTAATATGAAGGGCATTAACAAGTAATGAATATTTTTGCTCATGTTATTTGATGAGTTTACAGTAGTAACAAGGAAATTAATAGAAAGAAAAAATAGTAAAAATAGTTGATTGAATAAATCAGCCAGATGAGTATTCTTTGCCAAACCAACATGGCCACTGAATCAAAGATTCACTCTAGTTTACAAAAATAAAAGATGTAGGGTTTTCTTTTAATTTCTATCACAGTTGCCGAGCTCATAATCATTATAAAAAGACTGAAAAGGAATTGTGAAATAGAGGCAACTCATTATGTTTTAAAAAGAAATGAAACACCTCTGGACATAATCTTAGGACAAAATCAGTCTACTCTATAAACATTTTTAAAGCTCTTACTACATACAAGCTCCTGCAAAGGAATGATCCCAACTGCTTGGGATATAAAGAGGAAAAACAAAGATAATCAGGGAAATTATACTGCTTAACCTACCTAGAGCTATGGACTCAAGGAACTACTAAATATGAAGCTCTACATATGGTCATTAGACAACTGCACATGTTTTGCTTCTCACACTGTGACCTCGATAAAGGACTTGTCATTTTCAAGTCATCAAAGGATTCCTGACTTGAATCAAAGCTATATTTTCCCCCTCCATTCTTGGATCTTTTTGTCTCCTTGCATTTCTAGCACTGCTGACCAAGGGAAAGATAGTAGGGGGTGGAATGGAGACCATTCTCCAAAGAAAGAGGAAAAAGCACCATGACATAATTATTGTCAATGTAGGAATCACTCACTGGTCTTACTGTGGCTAAAAGGATCATTATTTCTCAAACAAGTCTTCATTTTTATTCAATGATTTTCAAAACAAGGAAAATGAATTCTTTTTATTCAGATTAAATTTTATGAAGTGAACTGTATGGCAGATGGCATGGTAGTATACTTCTGGATTTCTAGATAAGTCTTTTACTAATCTAAGTGAAACACAATCCTTAAGTCTCAATATATGGTAATTCAAACGTCAACATAATTATAGCTAAAGAATTTTCTTCTAACAGATTTTTGTTAAATTTATTACTTGTAATTTTGCTCACAGAGTAAAATAAAACATGCCCTTCAGCATCAAAAGCATTTCAATACTCTAATTAATGGGTCCTTTAATTATCTGCAAGATTAATCTATATTTATATTTTATAGTCATACAGATATTAAATATTAACTCGGCAGAACTTAATACATTGATCAAACTAACCTGTTAAAAGCTGATGGACAATCATGTGAGTAATTAAATATGGGTTTATTGAAGTTTGCTTTGTAAATTTTATACATGTCTATTTTAGAATTAGAATCTATATTTAGAATGCTCTCAAGTTCAAAAATCAATTTATTTCAGCCACTTAAAGCCAAGACATTTTTTTCAAAGAAAAGGAAATCTATAGTTCTTGTCATATTTCTATAGCTGGCATTTCATTAGCTTTGATATTTTATAATTTGTGGTCATATCAAAATAACACTATGAAGTGTTTCAAATGGGTCACATTGGGGTTGATATATTTTTATTCAGTTATCATGATGATTGAATACCAGGGAAACACATTGGCACATGATTAATCAGATTCACTTATCTTTATGACAAAGGTGGGAGTGGGGAAGACCTGAACATTTGTGGTAGGGAGTGATTTGGGTCAATAATTTGAGATTGGATGGATTATTTATAATTTGTCCTGCCGTTTGGTAATTCACTGGCCAGTTATTAATCTAATCCATCATAAACATATAAACTGTCTCTTGAGTGTACACATTTCAGCTACAGAATGCTAACAAGTATATATTACAAAAGAAAGGAAACTATTTTCAAGGCTCTTAATGATATACTGCAAGAGGTAAAGAAAATGATGGATGAAGTCCTCTATTCTTTCTACAAGTAGACAAACAATAATTTTAAAAGCTACAGAAAAAAAGCATGATTGCTAACATTAGAGTCCACCAGAAACTTTTCAGCAGATCTTTGTCTTATAGGCTGTTTGTTAATGATAACACAAAAAAATAAGGGAAATGGGAAAAATATTTGCAGTCTAGCTGATGGCTGCCGGGTGTTCCTACATGTTTCACTTTCTCCATTTTCTGTTTGAAGCAAAAACCAAAAACCCTGCAACTTTGCAATTATCTTATAATCTTATGACTCAGTGATCGTGTCACACCAAGTATCAAAGGTTGCAAGACTTCAGAATGCTCTGAAAAGTAATTTTTCAAGCGAAGAGATAGTTTGTCACTATCGCCAAACAATTCTGTACTGAGGACAGTAAAAGTCAAAGAGAATGTAAATACAGTTGAGGGGCAAGGGATCATCATTTTATTTTCTTTTAGATGCATTTCAGAGAGTTGAGAAAAGACAGGAGAAGAATGGGAAATGTTCAGAGTTAGAAGTTATCCCTGAAACTCTAGATGGTTCTTCTTGGTAGGTGTGCAAATTAATTGCTTTTTGAGATGCATGGTAGAACAAGTCAGAAAGACAAAGGTTGGTATTTCAGGAATAAGTTTGTGGGATAGAAAATGACTGCTTGGAGAAAGTAGGAAGTTTGAGGGCAGGAAAAAGGAATGATGGGCAACCAGCAGATAGGCAATAAGACAGACTTGAACAGTAAGTTCCTTCTTTTTTATTTTTTAATGGGAAATGGTGCTTGGCAACAAATGATAGGGGAAGCACCACTTGAGACTATGATGATTAACTCCTTGGGCAATACTAAACAGCATCAAAATCCATGAACATTTAGTACCTGAAATGAAGTGCTTATACTATATCTATATCCATATCTTCTAGTAAGCCACTTTAATCAGTAGTAACTTCTTGGTCAGACATGGACGAGTCACAAAGGATAGACAAGTATGGATAAACCCTATGTTGGAGGGTGGATCCAGATTGATGAGACAGAGATTATCCATTTGAGTAATTAAGTATTTGAGAGAGCGTATTCCCTTTGAATATTTTGAGACGCTCACCTATGTATTTTTCTCTCTCTTCACATTAAAAGAAACCCCAAACCAATCTTTAAAACTTTCTAGTAAGTCCCTCAAAATCAAGACCATCAAGATTTTTATTGGTGTTAGGCTTTTAAAAAAAATATACCAAAATTTCCTTTAAGTATTTGTGAATATTAATTCATTTTTAAGCCAAACCGATTTGTTACGATCCACCAGTGATTCATTGGTTCCTTGCCCATATAAATGAAAAAGAAAGCAACTTGAACATATGGCCAAAAGCATCATATTGGATACTATTTAAAAGGACCGCTTAAGAACCTGAATAGAAGAATAAAGGGGACTTGCACTGCCAGGACCTTAGGCCCAAACACTCAATTTTTGATGGGACATTATGCATTATTTGCATGAATATATACTTTAGCTTTTATTCAAGTTGCTTATGATATGATTGCCATATATGTATATGTGCATACATATATCCATATCCACATGCATATTCATATGCATACACATACATATGTATATATATAATATATATATTTGTATACATACACCTATACCTACAACTATAAACATATAAAAGCAATCACTGGATCTTCCCATACTTATTGGTTAATTCATCTATAAATTTGGGCAGAGTAGTTCTATTTCTTTCTATCTTTCCATGAAAGATCCAATCTCATATGCTTCCACATGGCAAAATTTCTGTCAAATCATAGGAATTTCGCCCATGGGCAAAGCACATGTCACTGGTCCATTTACTCTGTGTTCTAATTCAACAAGAGTAAACGTTCCAATACAGATCTGGTTTGAGCCTCCAGCCTCCTCACTGCTCCAGACATCAGTATCCCAGCAAAGCTCACCTTTCTGAAAGAGTAGATCTCACACTACCAGTCCTCATGAGCAGGCTCTGAACCTCTTGAGTGCCTGTAGTCAATCCAGACAGAGAGCCATGATGGCTGAGAGGGAGGTCAATAGACTCAGAGCTTGTATGGAGACTAGTCATTGACTGGTAGCTTGGAGTGTCCTTGCTGCCAGCAGATGAGCTGCTCAGATTGGCAGCCCACACAAGACCACCTGAGGTGAAAGAGTGAACCGATGCTGGGCTGGAAGCCAACGAGTGGCTTAAGCTTATAACATCTGTCGTTAAGTCTGAGGGTTTATTGAAGAGAGGGCTGCTGCCTTCACTCTGCCCACCAGCACTGCCCAGGCTGCCTGTACCCGACGATGGAGACTCCAGACTGCCTTGTCGCGCTAATGTGGTACAAGGGCTGGGCATTACTGAGGAGGATTTCACAACCTCAGAATTAGGTGCAGAGGCAGATTTGCCACCCGCCTTGGCACCAAACAACCTAAAAGAAAAACAAATAACAACTTCAGTTGTTATTCAGAGAAACTAATAACCACATTCAGTATTCAGGGTACAATATCTACAGAGCCCAAGCATGTGTGTTTGAAGTAAGCAAGAGTGGTGAGAAAACATCGTTTTGGTTTTGAGTGTGTGCACTTTGTATTTCTGAGTTTTCTGATGAAATGCCAGCAATCGACTTTTCCCTCAGAACACAGAGGGCTAAGTTACTCATACACCCAGGGAGGTCAAGGCAGAGCTGAGCCAAACAAGAAGATGTCTGGCTTTAATGTCTTTTTTTTTAATTAAGTAAATGAGATTATACTTTCACCCAAAATTAATATTTTAACTATTCTTGCTATTAAATTATTTATAGCGTCATATTCTCAAAATGGCTTCAGTTACTTCAGCACAGAACACTCGCAAAGGGGGACTTTCTTTAGTTTATTCAAAATTTAATTTAAACAGTTGCTTAGGACAATTTTGGGAGGTTATTCTGCACAGCTGGTGGCTTCATTGGCTGCCAAGTTGTATCTAGTTAGCCTTACTATGGGGCACTGAACGAAGCAAGTCAGATTCCTCGCAATCTTTCCTTAGATGAGCAAAAGGACTGCCTGTCAGCTGCCAGGAGTTTCCTGAAATATACATATGGAAGTATAATGATGATATGAAACACATGATGCCCTGCTCCAAGGCCATTGGAGATGATTTAGGTGATGGAAGTTGGACGGCAATTCAGAAAATGTTTTTGTTGTTTAGATGCAGGAAATAAAAAAAAATATTCTGAGTGAAATTTCATTCATGTAAATGTGGGGTCTCTTGTGAAATGCAGCAATGATTATTGTCTGAGTTACAATACAATGCATAATTCTCCATAGTAGAATATTTCGTAGCTAATAAGCAAAAATTATTTCATAGGGAACGGGCCGCAGGAGGGCACTACTGGCTTTTACTTAAACAATAGAACTATTAACTCTGAATGTCATGCTTTTTTTTTTCATAAAGAATCAACATTTCAAAAAGAAAAATCTACATGAATTAACATTTCTACTGAAGAAAAAACTTCAAATACTCAAGTTCTTAAAAAGCACCATGCATTAGAAGTTGTCTAAAATATAAAGGTAAATGTTTTAATATCTGCCATCTCCAAGGCACAAAGAACTTTAGTTTAAATTATAGGAAGCAAACAAATGTAAGCACAATTTTAGAAATGGAAGGGATCTTGAACATCACCTAGGTTAACTCTCATTTTGCAGAAGAGGAAGCTGGGATCCAAAAGGACATAGTCATTTATTTAACTTCACTGAGAAAAAAGACCTAAAAATTAATAATCTCACTTATTTTATCATTTCACTGGAAATCGAATAATTTTTTAAAAAATATTTCTATCCATGGCATAAATTCACTTTCACTGCCCACTGAACAATGGTTTCTGTTACTCTGAAGTTTTGTTTATGAAATGCCAAAGCAGCCAGATAGAAAGACAGAAAATGAAGTTAATCACTTAAAAATCTGAACGTTTCCAAAGGGTCATTTGTTCAGAAATATCTAGATGCTTTTGGCACCAGGTAGACAAACTCAATCTAATCTGTTACTGTTTGGGACCTTACAGTTTGGATATGACAAGAAGCATCATCCATCTACATGTATAACTGTCAGCTTGAAAGACATTTTCATTCATTGTTATCTCGTGTTCATTAATAGTCTTTAAAATAATGGACAGTGCAAAAAAAAACAAAACAAAACAACTGTCCTTTTCCAAAAGGGATTCACAAGCCCTGCAATGTGGAAAGCAAGAGTGGATATCTGAGGAATTTATATTAGACATTAACTATTAGTATTAATTCTATGTTGCTGTCATCTATTTACATGATATCTTATGATATCTTAATATCATAAAGATATATTCCACTAATGAGTCCAACTATGGTGAAATAGGTCCAAATGGCCACTTCTCACACTCCTTTAGGTAATGTTGGAAATATATATATATATATAATTTATTGACTTCACAGACTTATAGCATTTGAAAAAATCTAAATGCAACTATCAAGATACATAACATTTCCCTTTTGTGGGAGAGAAATGGGGGTGGGCAAATATGACTTTTTTTTTAAACCACATATGACTCCTTACCTTCTAAATGTAGGTGAGGCAATATCGGGATACTTGGAACCTGGCTGCCTGAGTCCTTGTGTTCCACATGCATTGGCAGAGGTTGGGCTGGACTTGGGGGAACTGGACAAAGAAACACTCTCTGAATCTGACACTGCCACCTTCTCCTTCTCCTTGTCTGTCTGATTGATGGTGACGGGACTGGACCGCCCAGACCCTATCTTGGTTGGCTCTCTCAGCTTGGTAGCGGTGGCCCCTCCAGATTTGCTACTCACATTAGAGTCAATGCTGCTGGTACTGGATCTGTGTCCACCCCGGCCAGGAATGCCACTCGGGCTCGATTTTGAAGGGCGTGGTAAGCTTCGGTACTGAAGTGTTGTCTTTGAACTCATGTGTAGCGCGCCATCATCCTGATTTTGAGAACCGTCCAAGCTGGTTTTTCTCCCTGCACTGGATTTCCCACCAATGGCTGCTGATTTGGGGGTTTTACCTAGTGTTGCAGAACCACTGGCGATGCTTGCTCCACTAGTGGTGATCATAGTAGATGATGCAACACCTGGCTTCTTAAATCCAAATGACCCAGTGGCAGTCGACCTCCCAATGCCTGATGGGGGCTTTTTCCCTTCATCTCCACTGCTTTTTCCTGCATCTGAAGGAGAACGTTGTATGGATGTCCCTTTAAGGGCCGTTTTCCCTTTCTCAGAAGCTTTGGCGTCATCTGTTTTTCCTAATTATAAAGACATACATGAGGATACATTTCTGCATTCATCATTTTAATTACTCTTATTTGAGGAGACACCTGAAATGCATTTTCTATCAATGTTATTATTTCATAAAGGTTTCTTTAAGGATTCTAAAAAAATTCCCCCAATACTAATTGACTACAACTTCATCAATAAATTTTGGTGGCAAATCAAAGCTTTAACAAATTAGTTTAGTAATGTTGTCTTAGAGATATGAGGTGAAATGAAAGGCTAAGGGTAATCAACAAGGAAGGATAATGCCTTATCGCCTGCAGTTCACCTTCCTTAGGATCACAATAGCACATTCTTAAACAATTTAGAGCTGGATGGAGCTTTAGAGTTCATCTACCTCAACTTTCTCATTTTACAGATTAGAAAACAGATTCTGAGGGGATAAATATTTTGTCCAAGGTCATTTAGCTAGCACCAGGCAGAGCTGGGATCAGAACCCAGATTCTTTTATTCCAAATCCAGGATTCTTTGTCTTTTACCATATTGTTCCCTAAATGTAACCATCACAAACATTTGCATATACTCTGTTGGAAGCAGTTTATTTAATTTATGTCTCAGATAATTCTGAATATACCATCATTATGAGAGTAAGGCAAAAAAAATAATAAAGGTTAAAGGAATTCACTACAGTCTCTCTTCCTCAACACACATGTCACTTGTAAACACACAAAAAAAGGCTTCTTATTTTCATGGCTCTCCAGACTTCAGAGTCAGGAAACTATTTGTAGCCTATAGCATCTGTGGTGAAACTCAGTGATCTACATAACACAAAAGCGTTGGTAAGAAAGTCCAAAGTTATTGCTAAGTGAACTTCTTTTGTTTCAACTGGACCAAGAAAAATTACAGCAGAGGTATAGGCCAACTGGGTGCTCTAGTATCTTACAGGTTTTTACCTGGAGCCATGTTTGATATACATGGGAAAGTATGGATGTTTGTGTTGTCTGTGTATTGGGGGGGGGTGAAAAGAAAGAGGTGAGGAAGAGGGAGAATGGGGAGGGAAAGGGTGGATAGGAGGAGAAAGGGTGGAGAGGTGGGGAAGAGAGGAGGGAAAAGAGGATAAGAGAGAGATGGAGAGAGGCAGGAGGGAAGGAGAGGGAGGAAGAAGAGAAAGGAAGAGAGAGAGGAAAAGGAAAAGAGAAAGGGAGAGTGAAAGAGGGGGAGGGAAGGGGAGAGAAGAGAAAGAGAAAGGAAGAGACGGGGAAATAGGTGGGGAAAGAAGGAGTGAAAAGGTAAAGGGAGAAGGGGAACAGATAGAGATAGGGAGAGAAATGGGGGATAGAGGAGGAAGAGAGAGAAAAGGGGGAAGAGGGAGAAGGGGGAGGGGAGAGAGAAAGAGACACAGAGACATAGAAGGGAGAGAGTGGGAGAAGAGAAGGGGAAGTGGAAAGGGTGACAGGGAGAAGTACTTTTCAATGATGTGAAGAAAATTCTTATGAATTATTTCCCACCTCTGCGCATTTGACAGATGGTCTTTGGTGCCTGGAATGCACTCCTTCCTCAGTTTTGCCTCTTGGAAATCCTAATTTCCTTCCTGGTTCAACTTAAGGACTTTCCCGATTTCCTACAAAATCAGACCTACACCCAGAGCTACAAAATCACTGTATTTGTTTTGTGCACAAGTACTTATCTGTGAACACATATGTTCACACAAATTGCTAGGAATTTATTTTGTGCATAGATAGTTATCTATGAACGTGGTGTAGTTACCTAGAAGAACGTAAGATTCTTGAGAGCAGGATTGGCTCACTTTTGCATTTTTATGCCAAGTGACCAACTCAGTTCCTGGAATATAGTAATTGCTTAATGAGTTTGTGGATTGTTTACCTACCTCAGGATCACTGTGAGGAAAGCATTTTGCAAACCTTAAAGTGCTATACAAAAATGAGTTATCATTATCACCATCATTGTAATTGATGGTGATTAGTATCAATCTATTTATAAAAAATATTAAGTAGAAAAAAAATGACCACAAACAGTCCACTTCACAGGCTTCAAAATATAATCCTACCAGGAGTCTTGAGGCCACTCGTTCCAGCTTTGTGCCTGGATGGTGTCCCTCCTTGGGCAGACATACCCCGCCGCCAAGACCCTGTCTGTGAAACGGACAGAGCTGCCTTCTGCCCTCCCTTCTCTGAGTCTTCCGACAGTCCCGGGGGAGCAGCTTTCCACTTGCTGCTGTTGTCCGCATGGCCGTCAAATTCTTCCTCGGGTTTCTTCTGCTCCTCTGTGCTATCCCAGGTGTCATCTGCTACAGAACGTTTCTCTGAATCTGTCTTCAGCTATAAGAAATGCATCCCAAATAAGATATACAGGCAATGGGGTATAGAAATCTATCCTACTCTACAGGAAAATGGAAGGGGAAGGGAATAAGACAAGGGGGAGCAGATAGAAAGGAGGGCAGTTTAGGGGAAGGGGTATTCAGAATGCATGCCATCTTAGGGTGGGAGGAGAGGTGAGATGGGGAGAAAATCTGGAACTCAAAATCTTGTGGAAGTGAATGTTGAAAACTAAAAATAAATAAGTTAATAAGTAAAAAAAAAAAAGAAAAGAAAGAAATGCATCCCAGAAAAAAAAAAAAAACAAAACTATAAAATGGGAGTTAAGACACAAGCTTGTGTTTTGAAAGAGAAAAACAAAATATTGGTAAGAGAAATCAGTGAGTTTTTTTTTTAATTTTTTATTTGTGTTCTTATTTACTGATGTTTCATTTGCTTTTTGGTATTTTTTTTAGAATTCTCATTATCATTAAAAATACATGATGACACATCTCAGTACTTGCATGAATAAATCTTTGCCCCAAATCCCTGATTAAAATTCTCTAGGGAACAACTTATGTTCAAAGGGAAATACAACAAAGACTTCTAAAATTTCAAGTGAAAGCAATAAAAGATAAACACTGGTTATTAAATGTTGTTTTTGCTTAACAGCTTAAAAATCACTCCAGCAGTCTGTTACAGAAACATTAGTGAAAAATAACCATCATGATCCAAAAAGAGATGCATTTTTTCCAATGTATTATTTAGATTTGCCAGCAACAATAAGCAGAGTTTGAAAGAAGGTCTTTGGTTCTGTTAGGCTATAATCAAGAGAAAATTAATTTGCTCTGAAGGTAGTCTATTCAATATATAGCAAATTTCTCTATTCCCTCAGAGCTTTGAAACAACAGGGAAGAGAAGATAATAATAGAAAGGATGGGCACAGATGCCCTACTCTAACATAGAGGTACTTGGAAGATAATGTCAAAGCCAGTCCTGCAATGATCAACGACCTTGCTAGACCAAGTTGGATCTAATTTACATTTTGCAGCATTTTGATCTTTTATAGGCAAAAGGATGTTCCAATGTGTGGTTAAGTGTACCAACACAACATAGGGTGAATAATAGCATGGGCCCATGATGGTGATGTTGCCCTCGCATATCCATATGCACCTTGGCAGTGATCTCTGCACACCCATGGATGTTAGGTGTTTTGGTGGTAGAAGTCAAGAAGGAACACTGGCAAAAGAAAAGAGGGTATTTTTACCTGAGTGTTCTTCCTCGAAGGGGCTGTCATGTTGGAATAAGAACTGACAGAGGATCCAGTATTTAGGTCATCTGTGCTGAGGTTATCAAGAGTATCACTGAGTCCACTACTTACTGAGCTGCTGTCATCCCAGCTAGAGGAAGAGAAATGAAGCAGGTTTTGTATAAGGTGGATACAACTTTAACCCCACTATAAAAATCAACAGAAAAAAATGTGCATATATATTTATTTATGCATAAGTATACAAATGTTCATGTGTGGATAAATACACATACATCTACATGCATGTTTATACACATATAAATATATAGATGCCTGTGTGTATATACAAATATACACAGTGTTCAAGCCTGGGCATTTCTAACAGAATTCTCCTCTACCAGGCTTATCCTAACTTTGACCCTCAGGCAGCAGAGAGTAGTGAATAAATCATTCTCTCCGCCAATGTGGCAAGTCATATATATATGTTAAGATTTGAACTCCAGGTCACATATATACATATCACAAATGCACATAGAATATGTAATGCATATCCATGTGTCCATTTGTATGTGTATACCCACAAATGTATATATTTCCATATACATTCACATATGCATGCACAAAATGTATGTCATTGAAAATGTTTTCAAATCTCAAGAGGTAGGAGAATGTGTATCCTTTCTCCACTCCTAATAGGAACAAGTTCTTCTTTCCATTATGAAGCCATTGGCACGAATGCAATTGTGGAAACACTGCATCTATGATGGCTTCCATATGAGTGGACCTAAGATCAACCTTGCTAATCAATATTATCAATTAGTATAATGATATATAACAAGCCACAATGAAGTTACTTGCAATTGATATAACAGTGTCTGTTGTGGAGGATTGAAGAAATAAGAAATTTTATGATTTTTGATAAGAGCAATCTCACCCCCTCAAAAAAATAAAAGTTGTTCTTCATGTCAAGCCTATAAGATAGTTAAATGGAAGTAATATTAGCTTCTCCCCCCCCAAAAGACACCAGAAAATTGAGGCTCTGAGAGTCAATGGCTTTCTCATTATTAACACAACTAATAAATGTTTGAGACAAGATTTGGACCATGTCCCATTACTCCACATCTAACACTATGCTATACCTTCAACATATACTTTGAGATGATGACATCAATAGTAGGGTGGACATAGAGGAAGACAGGAAAATTGGCTTAAAAATTTGCTAGGAGATTTAAAATGATCTCTCCTTCCTCAAATTTCTCAGAACACTTAATTCTGCAATTTACCCGTTATCCTTTGTGTTATACCACAAGAGATGCACAGTCCCCTGGACAATATAAACACATAATATACTCCAGTGCCTGGCATACAATGGGTTCTTACTAAATGAGCACTTAATGACTAATAATAAAATGGTTGTTGAATGAGTGAATGAATGAACAAATGGAGAAATCAAACAAGTCAAACCTAATGAATAATTTGAATATTACACGGGTTTTTGTTGTTGTTGAATCATTTCAGGTGTGTCTGACTCTTCATGACCTCATTTAGGATTTTCTTGGTAAAAGTACTGGAGTGGTTTGCCATTTCCTTCTCCAGCCCATTTTACAGATGAGGAACTGAAGCAAACAAGGTTAAACAACTTGTCCAGGGTCACATACCTATTAAATGTCTGAGGCCAGACCTGAACTCATGAAGATGAATTTTGCTAATTCTAAGCCCAGTTATTTATCCACTGTGCCATCTAGCTTCCATGATGTACAAGGGTGGGTACATCATGGAATGTTTTCTTCAAGGAGAGAGTTGGAAGATGTCTAATACAATGAGCAATGAATAATATCACAGAAAAAAAATAACTGACCATATTTTTACAGACAGAAAATTACTAATAAACGACATAGCAGTCATTTCAGAAGCAGACATCTGGGTAGAACTGGATCCTTTACTTATTACAGTAAAGGTCTAAATGAATGCCAAATCAGAAGAAAGCACAAAGACATGAAGATACTATGAGTCCCACTATTCCAAGTTGATTTAAATAAATCCATCAAAAAGAAAAATAAGGAAATTGGCAAAAATGAAAAATTGACAATAACACTATTTCTAAGAGAAATTCACCAAAGGCAAATTGCAGAAATAAGGCCAAAATATCCTGAAAATTGTGACAGCCAATAGATACTCAATCTCCTTGCTAAAGAGAGAGAAATGGTAGCCAAACATCACATCAGTTTAGAAAATATTTATTTACAAAAGTATTACGGAGGAGAAGATTACAAATCGTAACATTTCTTAAAAAATACACCGTCAGAGATCCTGATATGAGATCTAGATCACTCCTAGAATATTTGCTTCAGCTTCTTCTGGAACATGGGCTTTTAAATGGTGAGATTTCACCATTTTTATCCCTACTGACATCCATCACACTGCTGCTACTGGATATCTTTAAAATATACATCTTCATGCCATATTCCTATACAACTCTTCCTTTCCCTTTCAACCTCTTAGTTCTAGAAGTTGCAAGAAAATCAACAGTATCATTCTGGAAAGAGGCCTGTCAATTAGTTGCTCTCTGACTCCATTCATTATCTGACTGACCAAAACACCCCTAATTGGCCTCCCCTTCCCTATATGTGTTGTTTTCCTCTATTAGAATATAATCTTCTTGAGGGTAGGTACCATCTTGACTTTTGTAGTTATATCCCCAGAACTTAGCACACAGTGCCAGGAAGATAGTAAGCAATTAATATTTATTTTTTATTCATTCATTCATACAAGAACAACCAACAGATGTAAAATTAGACAGCTCAACTAGCATTTCTACATTGATCTACTTGCTATGGGAGTAGAATCAACTTATTTGTATTCTACTAACTCAACATCTCAAATGGCATATGAGGAAATGCATATAATATTTCAGAAAATGAAATCAGAAGCGAGCCAGGATATGACTAAATTAATACATAAGAAGGCCATGATGGAGGTAACAGATTTTTTAAAAGCATTTAGGAATACGTTTTCAAAAAATTTCAAAGAGGGAAGGTTAAAAAAATCAAAGAAATGGAAATTATCCCCAGTAGTATTCCTCACTCTCTCAAGCATATCCATTCATCAAGCAATGTATTGATCAATGAGCTGAGAAGACATCAACTGACCTATGTGCCTACTATAATCACTTTTTTTTTAAAAGTGATTCATATTGAAGGGGTCTTTGATGAGAAAATGAGAGGAGAAAAGAAAAGATTTTACAGATGATTTCCCTGTAGCACACCATATTTTTATAGTCACATCACTGAGAAAAATAAAGAACAGAAGATCTGAGTGTGGCTATTCTTAAAATTTCAAAAAAATTCATCCAGTAGAATAAATACATCCTTAAAAACATCCTCAGATAAGACATTTTTTTCATACAGATTAAGATTATATGTGACTGTTTAGTAGAGATAATCAAAGATTTTTTTTTTTAAAACAAACTTCAAAAGTATTGTCATCAAGACAGGACATTAAAAAGGAAGTCATTTGCTCATTCAAGGTATGGGCCATCTCCAAAGAATATTTCCTGAGTTGTATCTGAACAAGAGAAAATAATTCCATTCAGTGACAGGTTTCTCCAAATGCTGCTTTTTGATGACTCTGTCTTAACTGCATTAGGCTACAAAATCTCCCAGCAAAATGCACAATAATCTCAAAAAGATCTGCTTAACTACACACAGTGTAAACACAAAGTGGATGAAACATGTGGATTACCTAGAAAATGACATGTGACTGGATGGATATTAAAACAATATAGTAACACACATTCATCCCAGACTGACCCCACAGGTAGATAATAAATAGAGGCCAGAATTAAACACACAGTAAGAAGAGATTGCAGTAGGTGATAGAAAGATAGTAAGTCCCGTTTTACAAGTGAAGAAATGAACATGGTCACAAAGCTATTAAAAGGTGGAGTCAGGATTTGACCTTGCATCTGTGACTCTAAATCTAGCATGTTTTCTGCAAACATTTAAAAATATTTACCTCCAATTTGAATTTCTTTTCATTCACCTGCAGAGTTCTAATGCATTTTTTCAAGTGGGCAGTTTTGACGAAGAAGTTAGATTGCTGTTCAGTCACGTCTGACTCTTTGTGACCCCATTTGGGGCTTTCTTGGCAAACACATTGCAGTATTTTGCCATTTTCTTCTTCAGCTCATTTTACAGACGAGGAAATTGAGACAAACAAGGTTAAATGACTCACCCAGAGCCACACAGCTGACATGTGTCTGACGCCAGATTTGAACTCAGGGAGAGGGGTCATCCTAACTGCAGGTTTGGCACTCTATCCACTAAGCCACCTAGCTGCCCCATAGATAATTTCTATTAAAAGCTATAAAAGGAAGTCCTGGCCCTGATACCTAAAAAAGTTAAACACAGCAGTGGCCAGCACTGGTATCATAGCAACTATATACACTCAGACTTAAATCCATCTATAGTAAAGATTCAGATGAGCACATGGCCTTCGTGATTAGCATTTTTGAATCACAAAACATGTTAAATGTTTTGTCACAAAATAGGAAGGTTAAAATAATATTAATAAGTCCTTCAGAATTGTCTTGGACCATTGTATTGCTAAGAACAGCTGTCATTCACAGTTGATCATCATGTAATATTGCTGTTACTTTGTATAATATTCTCCTGCTTCTGCTCATTTCACTTTGCATTAGTTCACGTAATTCTTTCCACGTTTTTCAGAATAATGTTTTTTAAATGTAGAAAATAAAATATAAAACATTATAAGAAAACCAATTATGTTAAAATACAGTTCTAAAAATATATTAAAACAAAAACAATTTCAAGCACCCCCCCCAAAAAAGAACTCCTATTCTAGAAGTAAATAGCATTGTTTACCTTAAAATTGTGGTTTTTTTGTAACTCTCTCCTCCCTTCCCACTCTTAGAATACCTCCCCCCTTCTAAGCACAGCTCAAACACTACCTCCTTCATAAGACCTTTCTCAATTTGCCTCCTGTTTTGCCTCCATTCCTCCCTCTCAGAATTACCTGGCATTTCCTTTGAATATCTTTAGCATATGCTTCCACATACACATACTGTCTCCTTATAGAATCTGAGCTTCTTGTGTGTAAAGGTCATTTAGTTTTTGTCTTTGCATCTCCACT